GAACTCCTTGAAAACAGATACTGTCGTATTTACCGCTGAATCGCGAGCACCTGACATTTACTGGCAAATCAACAAATAAATGTCTAGGAAAATAACTAAAAGCCCATAATCTCAAATGAATGACCTTAAAGGAAAGCAACATGTTTTGATGAATAACTATCCTATCAGTTCATGAAGATGTAATTGCAAAAATAAGTTTGCTCAATGAGTTCCTTTTAGTATATGAATGCTAGAGTCTGTTGGTAGCAATTCTGATGAAATTAACTTAAAGCTATGTAATACTCAGTTCATTTTTCCTTCATCTGTTCACCAGCCTTCAATTTATTCAACTAGTATTTACTGAATGCCAAATGTAGAGGTTCTAGAGATAGCATTAACTAAGGGTCAGCCGAGCCACTGTCATCAGTATCAGACAAAAAATAGGTCAGTTCAGGAGCACCTGGGCAGCTCAGTTTGTTAGGCTTCTGACTTCAGCTCAGGTCACGAACTCCCTTTCATGAGTTCAAGCCCCATGTCGAGCTCTGTGCTGACAGCTCAGAACCTGGAGGCTGCTACAGATTCTGTGTTTCCCTCTCTCTTTGCCCCTCCCCTATTCATACTCTGTTTCTCTCTCAAAAATAAAGATTAAAAAAATTTTTTTCAATAGGTCAATTAAATATTTTCCTCACTGATATCTCACCTAATTTTGTGACAGTTTATTTTACCATCACTGTAATAAGAGAGTTAAGACTTTACAATGTAATTTTATATTAACATAATTCACTATAGTTTTGAAAACATTTGGAACAAATATCATCCATTGGCCATGAGAGTGTCAATTATGTTTGGCTTAAAAATCTTTTTTGAAGTATATTATAGAAGAGTATCGTTCAAGTTCATATTAAAGACCTTAATTAAATAAGAGCAAGCTGACATTAAAATAGATGGCTTTATTTTTAGAAGCAAAATGAGTAGGTAAAAAATATGAAGGCATGTTCAAATTTAGTTGCTAGATCTGAAGGGATAAACACTGAAAATGCTGCACACAAAAAATTAATAAAAATTATAAACCAAGTATTCTTTGTAATGATACCTTATAAATTAAAGATTAGAATCTTTAAAAGTAACAAGACACTTGGAAAAACAGCATGCTCTACATTCCTGAAATATTTTCAGAGAAAGAAAAAAGGCAAAGTTATCAGCCTAATACTCAGTCATTCTTGTTATCTCCATTTAGTTGCCTAACATATTGGCAAAAGAAAGTGACTCACAGAGCCACTGAACATATTTTTGTGTTTAGCACTGTGCAAAGAATATATTTTTTAAGAACACATTTGTTTTAATAATAAAAGAACTGATAAATTAAAAGCTGTATCTTTTGGTGATATACTATTACCTAAAATCTGTCCTACTATAGAAATAACAAGAAAGTGTTTATTTCTCATTTTAGCCAGGTATAAACTTGATAATCTAATTTGATAGGAACTTTTTAATTTATGTCAGATACATGTGGGAAGACCATTTAATATAAGATTTTCTGACTGTAGAAATTTTAACCTCTCACATAACTGGCTTACATATATTTATAGAATTATGAAGTACACTGCTTATCAATATAAATTCAACTAAAAATTTACAAGAATTATAAGTGATAGAGCAGCAAATATAATTGGAAAAGAGCAGAATCATTATTAAAAATTAGGAGGTTACTAAAACAGTTGGTTAGAATCACTGTTTTATATAATAAAGCTTCAGCATAAAAATTCTACCAGATCTCATGGGTAAAATGTAATAAGAGCTGTTAATATAATGAAAGGAAGCTCACTGAATAGCTGACTTTATCTAAAGTATTTTGTTCAAAGACTGGAACTAACTATACCCACTTATAATACAATATTGAAGTACATTTATTGGTTGTTGAGAAAAAAGAATGCTAAGCAGAGGAGATGGTATAAAATACAGGAATAGGATACTTTTGTATTCAGGTGAATAAAAATCTCAACTGGCAAATACTGAAAAATTGGGAGATAAAATAGGCATATTTAATTGATTATTTTAAACACTCTAAAAGAAATAAATGTGAAACTACAGGTAGTAATGATTTATTTTAATGCATCAGACATACCCAAAGATACCAAAAGAGATCATTATAGTAAATAAGACTTAAAATTAACTCTAATTACCCTATGTTCCCAAGCTTAATGAAGAGAACATTATTAATAAATACAAGTTTGAACTAAATGATAAATACAATATATTGTAACTTTCCCTTGTAAAACATTTCATGATTAATTTCTAAAAGAGAAATGTGAAACATTAAAAACATTTGGATAAAAGATCCAGTTTTTAGACCGTGAATCAATAATAATATTAAATTTGATGCCCAAACAGAATTTATTATTTAAGATTAAAAATTTTCTATTGCTAAAAAGAGCAATAGAACTGTGACTTAATTTAACTGTGACTTAACGAAAAACATAGGAAAGCAACAGGCTCAACAGTGTACCAAATAAACATATGGCATTATTGTATGCTATGAGCTAAAATGAATTTATGAATAGGCAAGAATACACTTCATAAAAATTTCCAAAATTGTATAAATATTTCCAAGATATTTCTAAATATTCACGTTTGTATTGCTCATTTTATTTATTTTTGTTAAAATTTTTTAATGTTGCATTCATTTCTGAGAGAGAGAGAGAGACAGCGCGAGCAGGGGAGGGTCAGAGAGAGGGGGAGACCCAGAATCTGAAGCATGCTCCAGGCTCTGAGCTAGCTGTCAGCACAGAGCCCAATGAGGTGATCGAACCCATGAACTGTGAAATCATGACGGGAGCTGAAGTCAGTCGCTTAACCGACTGAGCCACCCAGGCGTTCCTGTATTGCTCATTTTAGAGATTGTTCAACTGTATTTGTTATTAACTTTCTTACATTTCTATTTTATTATGTCTAGTAAAAGGACTATTTTCTGAAATGTAAGTTTCAATCAGAGGAACGTGTGTATGTATTTGTGTCTGTGTCTATATGTCCACTTCAATGTAAAATGTATTTCTTGCTGTTAAGTTGTAGTTGACAGTATTTTGATAAACACTACCATAAATAAATTCTTGCATATGTATAAGAGGCACATATAAGAATGTCCATAATCACAAACAACTGGAAATGACACAAATGTCTGTCAACAGGTGAATGAAAAAAAAAAAAATGAGGGATGCCTAGATGGCTCAGTCAGTTAAGCATCCAACTCTTGATTTCAGCTCAGGTCATGATCTCTCAGTTTGTGAGACTGAGTCGCACAAAGGGCTCTGCACTAATAGTGTGGGACCTCTTTGGGGATCTCTCTCTCTCTCAAAATAAATAAAGTATAAATAAACAAAATGATACATATTCATGCAGAATATTACTGAACAATGAAAATCAATGAACTATAGCTACATGTATCAACAAGGATAAATCACAGAGATATATAAAACTGTACTAATTTTATACAGTTTAAAAACAAAACTAAAAACCATACTGTTCAAGAATACATATTCACAGTTAAATTATGAAGAAAATGTATTTAAAAAAAAAAAAAAACACCAAACCTATATTCAAGAGGATGGTTACTTCTGTGAGGGATTTGGAAGAATGACTCTAGGCAGAATACAAAAGGAGTCTCAAAGCTATTAATAACATCATATTTCTTCAAATGGGTGAAAAGTTCATGAGGTTTAGTTTCATTGATATGCTTCAAAACATGATACATATTCTTTTGTTTATATCAAATACCCTTTAAGGAAAATGCTGAAAAACATATGTGGGGAAAGTTTGCTTTCTATATATTTATAAATTACTTTGATCTTTCATAAGGAGCATGAAGCAAAAAAGGGTGAATTTTGTAATTTTGAAATTTTAATTTATAATAACTAAAAAATAGGAAATAGACTAAGAGTTTACTGAAGTTACAGCCTCCAGAAAAAATAGTTAAGAGTTTATTAGTTATTTTGTTATTCATTCATTTTTTTAAGTAGGCTTCACACCTAGCATGGAGCCCAATGTGGGGCTTGAATTCACAACCCTGAGATCAAGGCCTGAGTTGAGATCAAAAGTTGTTTGCTTAACCAACTGAGCCACTCAGACACCCCTATATTAGTAATTTTGTTAGTTATATTAGATTTTTCAAAGACGTAACTAAACTTTCACATACACGTTCAGTACAAATGTACTTAAAATATATTTTAGGGGAAAAAAGGCATGGGAGGGGGGTGTTGTACCTGGCTGGCTCAGTCGGTAGAGTGTGCAACTCTTGATCTTGAGGTTGTAAGTTTGAGCCCCACGTTGGATGCAGAGATTACTTTAAAAATAAAATCCTTAAAATATATATAAATGAAATAAAATTTATAAAATTATGCAACAGAGTTAAGTGGAACAAATGTCCCCAAAGCCCAAATTTTTAAAGGAAAATAACACTTTTAAATATTTAAAAATTACAGTAGTTCTTTATATATTTAAGCCCGAAGAGTGATAGTGAAAGAAACAGAAAAACATTCACTTTTAGCCTAGAAGGCTGACCTATAAGCCTGTATAGTTTTGATAAGGATCAGGTAAGTGCTGGGTGCTACATTCTTTTTTTTTCCAAGTGAAACAATAGTTTTATTTGAAGCATGCATGTTTTTGTCACATACCAGGGGGTTGACTTTTGGGTCCTGGTTTCTATGATAAGATCATGCATCTTAGACACAGCTTCCTGGGAAATGAATTAGAAAAGGAGCAAGACACAGCCTGGCAAGACCATTACTGTTGCTGTGAAGTCCTACAGAAAGGAAATATCTTCTTCAATTAGCACCAAGGATAAAGACTGGTCGGCAGTTGAGGCTGGCATCTCCTCTTTCCACAGCAAGGACTCTCTCCTAAACGGAGGCAGTGGGCCACTTGGCAATTTTGGCTGCAGCAACATCTCAGGGCTCCTCAGTTCCCTCAGTGGATTCCTAATTCAGTCCCTTCCTTCCCTTGAAGATTTCAAAGAGGAAGGGCAGGGCCTATGTCATGGACACTACTTGTTCGATGAAGCTGACCAGGTTTACGTTCCATTCTAAAAGGCCTGCACACTCACATGCACTCAGGGTGATGTGGATCTTATTGTACCCACTAAACCATTCGGGATGGTAGTCCAGTTTCTCAGCTTGCAGGGCCACCCTTGTCATGAAGCCAAAGGCCCAAATGAAGTCTTTGAAATGGAACTGCCTGAAGATAGCATCTCTACCTTCCAGCTCGTTCCACCCCACGGCCCTCAGGTTTGGCAGCAGCTGGTCCCTCTCCTCATCACTTAACCTCTGTGCTTTGCCAGCCATCGTGAGCACTGTGCGGGTGCGGACGTGGCCAAGCAGCAGGTGGCTATGGGGCAGGAAGATGGCACCAGGCCCTGGTTGCTACATTCTAAAATGGTCTCATAACTGCCTGTATATCTTACCAATAGTTAATATCAAACTAAATAATAAGCACCAGAAAAACCTTATGAAAGTAGTTTTACAAGTAGAAACTCGAAGAAAATATTTATGATCTAATACTACCTGCATGTCCCCTGCACCTTGAACACTAAGCATATAACCACCAGCTTCATACAGCAAAAGTACAGTCCTTTCTGCCCACAGGTCCTGTCCTCATACTAAAATAAACTTACTAAGTTGCACCATAAAATTTCTCAAGAATTCTTTCTTGACCATTACGTTCAACAATCCCACAACACATATGCAATTGAGCATATTACACTAAAAATATTTTTTCATGTAAATATTTTCTTACTTTCAGTAGAGCTGAAAGAATTAAAACATAGTTTCTATCTTCAAACAATATACAATTTATAGGAAATGGCAAACAGAAAATAATTTCAATACAATACAAAAAGTACTCATGTGAGCACAGACAGGAAAGGTTAGCATGATGGAGAGGAGATCAAGAAGGCTATTAAATAAACTTTTAAAAAATACTGAATTTTCAAAGCAAACCTAAGTTAGCTCCATGTGGAGAGCAAAAACTTCCAGACAGAAAACTATGTAAGCACTGAAGGCAAGGCACAATCAAGAAATTCTGCGGCTAACCAGGAAAACTAAAGCCTGAACGAAAAGGAGGCTCAGAGGGAAACTAGATAGAGGTTTTCAACTCATTTGAAAGACTGACTATCCTGTTGATTTTCAATACTGATACTACTGGAAGTTAATCATTCCTCCTCTAAGCTAGCTCTGTATCTTTTTTTTTTGTTTTGTTTTTTAAAAGTTTATTTTATTATCTATTTTGAGAGAGACAGAGAGGGAGAGAGTGCAAACCGGAAAGGAGCAGAGAAAGAGGGAGAGAAAGAATCCCAAGCAGGTTCTGAGCTGTTGTGGAGCAAGGGCAGTGCGGTTGGGAGAGCCCAGTGCAGGGCTTGAACCCACAAACCACGTGAGATCATGACCTAGCTGAAATCAAGAGCCAGACACTTAACCAACTAAGACACCCAGGCGTCCCTACCTCTGTTTCTTGTACAGGTTCTTTTATTATTTCCTTTAGCATACTATATGATCATCTTGCCATTTATTTTGTGAAAATTCATAAAGGGAAACCTCATTAAAATGGAACCAAGAGTTCAGACGGGGAGCTCTCACACCCTACCACTGGCGGTCAACTACAGACCAACAGGAAAGAGATGAATCTTACAAATCCATACTACTTTAGCTACTTCTTTACTAACCCAGTAGGAAAAAAAAGTTTTCCTCCTTCCCAAGCAACAGCCCAGCCAATGAGAGAATGTAACAACTCAGCCAATGAAAGTCACTATACTTCGAAGTCCCAGTTTACTCCAATGGATTTTTTGTTTGTAAAAGTCTTCCTAACTTCCCCTGTCCACTATAAAAGAGCATAACTCTCCTTTATTTTCTGGACTTGCCTATGGTTTTGTCACAGCTTGCTTGTCCCTAATTGCAATTCTCTACTATGCTGAAAAAAACTCACTTTTGCTGGGAAAATAACTGGCAGTTTTATTTTTAAGGGTAACAGATTAAAGTAAATTCACTCACATATTTCTGATTATATCATCATAATTATCATTACTTTGCTACTAATCTATCCTATTCAGAAATCACCTCTATCCTTCACCAGGAGAAGCCACTTATTTGAAGCCTACTACATACTGTTTTATAGGATGCTTCTTCACATATTAAAAACTCCATGAGGTCAGAGACTGGGTCTGTTTTATAGACTAAAGACAAGACTTAATATAAGACCTACACGACTTAAAGTAATAGTCACCATAAGGGGATCCTAAAAATGGAAGCCAGCACAGAAGATACAGCTTCAGTTCCTGATGACTGACTGTAAAGCTGTCAAGCCAACCTGGGCACCAACTTACAGACTTCTATTACATGAAAGAAAAATTAAATTCTACCTTGTTTCTGTTGCTGTAATTTTGGACTTTCTGGTATGCAAATTCAATCCTAATATACGCAACATGTGAATTAGTGATTAACATTTCATGATAATGAAACACTGGAACACATTAGAGGCCAAAATTAAAATGTTCTACCCCTATGAATGAAGTTGAATATCTTCATATGTGAATTTATTCATGTATTTTGTTGAGTGCTACAAACTACCAAGTCCTAAATTGTATTCAGTATTTTGGTAATTAATTTTAGAATCTGTCTTTCTGGAGGTATTCTCTTTCAACCTCAACTTGGGTACTACAATTCAATTCTGGTACTAATGACCCAGAGTTAGCACAGACCCCACAAGTTAATGGACACAGTTCACAGCATGATTCCCTCACATCAGACCACCCACACTTCTGACTACATACAAATTTGGGGTTTTCTATTACCTTCCCACAGGTTCAATAATTTACTAGAATGACTCACGTAACCAAGGAAAGTGCTATATAGTTTGACCCTTGAACAACACAGAATTGAACTGTGCAGGTCCACTTACAAGTGGATTTTTTACAGTACTGTAGTTTCTCCTCTATATAGTTTTAACAGCATTTTCTTTTCTCTGGTTTACTTTATTGTAAGAATATAGTATATAATACATATAACATAAAATATGTGTTAATCAACAATAGTTGGCTATTAGTAGTTAAGTTTTTGGTTAGTCAAAAGTCATATATGGATTTTAAATTGCATGGGCAATCAGCACCCCTAAACCTCCATGTTGGTCAAGGGTCTATTGTATTTACAATTACAGTTTTATTGTAAATAATACAACTCAAGAATAACCAAATGAAGAGACAAACCAGGAAGGTCTAGAAGAGTCCCAAATATAGACCTTCCATGCCCTCCCCTTGTGGAATCAAAATGCAACACATTTCTGGCAAGTATTTTGTTTATTAACAAGGAAGTTTCACTGAGCTTCACTGTCCAGAGTTTTGACCAGGATTTCATTACAATGATTGACTGAATCACTGACCACATGAACGAATTCAATCTCCAAACCCCTTCCCAGAGGTGGGCTAGCTCAAAGTCCCCAATCCTCTAAACAATCACATGACTTGATCTTCCTGGGTGAGCAGCCCCCCTCCAGAAGTGATCTAGGGGCACACCATGAGTCACTTCATTAGCATAATGACAGTGATAGCACAGTGATCCTCGTAGCCCATAAATAACAAAGACACTCTGTCACTTGGGAAATTCCTTTGGTTTTAGTTGCTCTGTACCAGGAACCCAGGGTAAAAACCAAAATCTTTATTATACAACAGGGAGTGATTCTGTCTGTTCTTTATTAGCTGGCACACAGTAGAAGCCTTCTTTCCCCTCATCAAATCTCTCCCATTCTAATTTCTGAAGAACATTAATGAAGAAAATATCATCAAGGCTGCCACAGCCATGTATTAGAAAGAATCTGATAAAATCTAAAGGAAGATATTATCACTCTAATCCACTGTAGATGTTTAAACAGCTACATTCTATTCTACTCCAAGTCTTTCTGTTCATTTCAAAACTTTTACCTTTATCTTCTATCATAATACTAAAACATGGGATTCTCTGAACTGTCACCTGACATACCTATTTCAACACTTACACAAAACAAATATTATTGAGGGAGAGAGAGAGAGAGAGCAAGAGAGAGAGAGAGAGGTTGCATGAGCAGGAGAGGGGCAGAGAGAGGAGAGAGAATACCAAACAGGCTCCACACTGCCAGAGCAAAACCCTATGCAGGGCTCAATCTTACAAACTGAGAGATCATGACCTGAGCCAGTATCAAGAGTCAGATGCTCAACCGACTCTGAGACCAAGGCACCCCCCACAAAATAAATCTTAGCTTGTGTTTCCTTTGAGGAGTAGATCCAGGTTTTATGGACCAGTACCTTTTACAACTTGGGGAACTCTCTTTAAGGAAAAGGATACAAGTTAGATGTGACATATGCATTTATTTAAAATATGAAAATAAACCACATTAAGTTACAAATTTCTATTTAAAACTTTTTTTTATTCTGTTTAAATCCAAGTTAGATAACACATAAGTGTAATAATGATTTCAGGAGTAGAACTTAGTGATTCACTATTTACATATAACATTCAGTACTCATCCCAACAAGTGTCCTCTTTAATGCCCATCACCCAATCAGCTCATCCCCTCCCCCAACCTCCAGCAACCCTCAGTTTGTTCTCAGTATTTAAAGAGTCTTCTATGGTTTGCCTCCCTCTCTGTTTTTATCTTATTTTTCCTTCCCCTCTCCTAGATTCATCTGTTTTGTTTCTTATATTCCACACGAGTAAATCATATGATATTTAACTTTTGTGGACTTATTTTTCTTAGCATAATACACTCTAGTTCCATCCATGTTGTTGCAGATGGTAGGATTTCACTCTCTTTGATCACTGAGTAATATTCCATTGTGTGTGTGTGTGTGTGTGTGTGTGTGTGTGTGTGTGTGTGTATACATCTTCTTTACCCATTCATCAGTTAATGGACATTTAGGCTCTTCCCATACTTTGGCTATTGTTCATAGCATTGCTATAAATGTTGGGGTCCATGTGCCTCTTCAAATCAGCATTTTTGTATTCTTCGGATAAATACCTTAGTGCAATTGCTGGGTTGTAAGTTAGTTCTAATTTTTTGAGGAACCAGCATACTGTTTTCCAGAGTGGCTGCACCAGCTTGCATTCCCAGCATCAGTCAAAAGAGTTCCCCTTTCTCTGCATCCTCACCAACATCTGCTGTTGCATGAGTTGTTAATGTTAGTCATTCTGATGGGTGTGAGGTGGTATCTCACTGTGGTTTTGATTTGTATTTCCCAGATGATGAGTGATGTTGAGCATCTTTTCATGTGTCTGTTAGCCATCTGGATGTCTACTTTGGAAAAATGTCTATTCATGTCTTC